TTTTTTCTTGTATACAGGAGAGAAGCTAAATTGCCTATACACCCAAGTGAAACGGGTAATTTATTAGAGGGGACGATTATTCAACAGATATATGAACTAGAAAATGATCTACCAATGGCACAAAACCAAACCATGGAACATATTAAAGCCCAACAGCAAAAGCAAAAGGATAGACACGATCGACAGATCAAAGCCACCCCCGACTTTAATATAGAAGATAAAGTATATGTTGAAGATACACGAAAAATGAAAACTCATAGCCATAAGATGATACCACAATGGAAGGGCCCATACTATATACATAGTATAATCGGGAATGGTGCCTATAAACTTCGTACGGCAATGGGAAAAGTGTTATTGCATACAGTAAACAAGACATTGTTGAAAGCCCACTATGAGAGAAATATATAAAACGGCAAAAAGACTCTCTATCAAAATCCAATTTCCATACACCAAAACAAATAAAAATCAAACAAAACAACTAAACAAATATCATACTACTCCTACAATGACTAACAATATAACTTTGATCCAGCAAGATTTGCTTGCTACAAAACCAGCCATTGTTGTTTCTGCCCCTTGTCCTTACGATAGTACACAAAGAATCATCACTTAACTAGCCCTTGCACATGATAAGGTAAAAAGAGCTAGAGCAGGGGGAAGACGAATCGACACCCTTGTGTATGCTTTCTACTTTGGAGCTCGATTATCTACCACCGCCAGAGATGAAAGAGCTGCTGCAAAGAAAGAGTATGGTGCCTATTTCCTTAGGGCCGCCAGCCATATTTATTATTTGTTTAAGCCTTTTGGGCTCGAACAGATTTATCAAACCCGCCACACCCGAATTTTCAAGGTTGTATCCTTGAGCAAGGACCAATTTGATGATCTAAGCCAAGGAGAGCTTGTGTTACAAGCTTTCTTTAGTAAGGGAGAGTTGTAAGGGTCAAATTTGACGCAGCATAACCCGAACTTGGGCTGTGCTACTATTTTTTTTTATTATTTTATTACTATTACGTAGCATTTTCCTATATTTGTATATTCTATTATTAGTGTATCTTTGCTAT